TTAAACACCGGCCAGTAATTTTCGTGCACGCACGAAAATTCCGCCGCTGCAACTGCCGAGGATACAAAACGTCTCAGGAACTGTAAACAACGGCGGAAATCAATCGATCAACCAGACGCTGTATTACGCCTCTGTTTGAAAGCAGATGAGAATAAATCCGAAAAGAAAGGAATTAGACGTTCATGCCCCGAGGTAATGTACATTATTATGTTAAGATTTATAATAACATGGCCTATGTCAAGCGCACTGCCTAAGAGTGTGCTAATTTATCTTACCTTGAACATTCTGTTAAACACGACGCAGAATAAACCCTTCTGAGTGCACGCTCCGTGTGCCCCAGAAACTGCCAGGGTTCCCACGCTCTGACATCAAAATTCTGCACAAAAGAAATTCCCCCCCCACACAAGCCTGTTCACCTTACTCCTCCAAACCCTATCTTTCCCACAAACAACTTGTTCCATCCACCCTGAGTTTACGAAAAATTTACTTTTCAAAGCAGTTTTCCGACAACCTCGTAAAAATGGTCCATGCCGCATATAACATACACATTTTAATTAAATTTTCTGTATCCGAACGGAATACAAATTAAGTTCGCACAACGTTTACTCAAAATCTTCCACGGGTCTATTAAACGTAATCAAAAGATTATGACGAAACAGGACGGTAGGTTCGGCCACCGCGCAATGCGTGGACAGGGCCCAACATTCAGGCCATTCCTCACTTATTTTAACCCCCTAAACCCCAGTGGTAACCATACGTACCACCCGCTAAATCGAGAAATCAGAATTTTGATCACAGTGAATTTATTTGTTAGGATAAACACCGGTTATTTCCTTAATCAGCGTCAACCAGTTGATCTTCGTAATGGTGAAGCGTGGTGTTTTCTTCGCGGTACGGACCGAATTCTTAAATCACATTTCGACTTTAAATGCTCTGCAGTGTATTAATAATACAGGGCTAGTCTAAATGATGTTCCCGATTTGAAAGACATGAAATTCAGATGCACAAAATTGGTACCGATGGAAAGAGAAACTCTCCAAGTTTTGTTTCGGTACATCACAGGTGTTCAACGTGAGCCCCCTTGGAAACTCGGCACACATCCAGACACGTTGCGGCATATCATGATCGATTGCTGTAGCCTCTTTTCTTAAATTCGGAATACCACTAACGAAGTTTATGCCCACCGGCTGGATCTGCCGCAAACTTGGTTCGGAAATGCCGTTGCCAGGACACAAAGACCCCCCTGTCTTCGATGGCAGCCATTTTCTCTCATATCGCCCCTGGCGGCGAAGTATACCAACATAAACTTGGAGAGTTTCTCTTTCCACCGGTACCAATTTTGTGCATCTGAATTTCATTAAACGTGAGTAACGTGTGTTTTAAATCGGGAACATCATTTAGACTAACCCTGTATAATGACGTACCGTGGTGTAACAGAATGATTACGGCGCATCGACGCAGTAGAAGGAAGCACGCGTTGACCACCTGGAGATACGAAAAGACATCACAAGACCGTCTAGATAGCCGGCTTCCGGCCCCACACACTGACTTTCTGCTGCGTTAATATTCCAGGTTGTAAAACATTTTCAATCCACAAGTAGACACGCGAGACTTCGTCACAAAACGATACCTTGCTTTAAAGGAAAAATGCAAATGATGAAGCGCCGTCGAACAAGCATGCAATCAGGGTCAAATTGACTGCCACAAACTTACAAGAGAAGGTGAAAGCTGAACTAGAGGCTGCTGATACATCGTCATGTGACCGGTCGTGTTTCGCCACTAGCGAAAGGCTACGGAATGAAAACATTGCCCATCATTAAACATCGGCAGTTGAATGGAACACCCAAGCAACGACCGAGACTCACTCACTTATTTATTTATTGTTTAACGACGCTGCCACTACTCGGTGCATCTCGTTTGCCATTAAAGTCTGCGGCAATTAATGGACGTGTAGCACGAACACAGTAATTTAAATACAACCGGAAATGAAAAGCGTATACTCTGAAGAACTAAAGTATTCTTAAAGGAATATAAATATCCCACGGCGCGAGCACATTTTAATTTCTGCGACCCCCCCCCCCCACCAATGGAATTTATTCCGCCATTTCACTTCGTAATCACAACACGTCACAGTGTGAAACTCGGTCAAATACATCGTAACGAAAGAAATTTTGTAAATGAAAGGGAAACCAACGATGGTAATGTGCGTCATCAAACACGTAACACGGAAGGGCACACTATTCTTGAGAAGCTGCTAGTGTCTCAGCTAGTCAGGTCGGCCTGATAACTCTCTAATATGAATCAGGGATCGCCCGGAAAATTTTGCAATGACCCAACCGGACGAAATCCCTTCAAGATGTAAATCTTATTCCAAAACATCTGCTGGCAGTCGGAGTCAGTGGGTAGGGGGCGCAGTTCCTTTTCTGCCTCAAAAGCTAAAGAAACCCTTCATGCAGTTTTGAATGGCGTGCTGAATAAAGCGGCCACAGTTCCATTCAACGCCGCAAACAATGAAGACTTGGGGAGATGCTAGATTAAAAAGAACTTATCCGAGGAGCGTATCTTCCACCAAGGAAAGGTACCAGCCCCTCCCTACCTTCCGCTGCATCCACAAAGAATTTCAGATCTCAGCAGCAGACACCGCCATGAATGACGAGGGGGGCGCTGTTTTCTTTTATTCAAGCAAGAAATTTTCGATTAAGTCGCCAGATGGGTAGTCCACATCAAGGCGAAATAAACCCTTAAATGTGTGCTAAACCCACCCACCTAGCCGCTTAGCTTGTAAAGAAACTGGCTCTACGTTCTTCTTCAAGACGTTTTAATATTATCATCCATAAATAATTGTTGTATCCATTTATTCCTCTATCTGCCCATCTGTAGCAACGTCATTTATACTTTGAGCTATTTTTTTACATTTGATGACCCAGTGAGACAATAAACAAAGCAGCTGTAGTAATAATCAGTAAGTATGTACAGTTGCACAACATTGCATAACGTTACAAACGAGACCTTCGGCTCTACACAAGATAGGCTTTTTAAACGTGATTGGAGAACGTTAAACTGTAACAATGCCGCAAACGTCACTACTAAGCCAACGACAAAACGACAAGCAACAATGCGATTGAACAGTTGTGTAGGTAAACAAAAATTCCTCGCAATTTATAGCATTCGTCACTCTCACAGCAAGCATTCCTTCAGAGCGAACGGCCAAGGCCTCACAAATTACAAGTCGAGGAAAACGTTCTGGTTTTCAGCTAGCACACATCCAATTGTCAAAGTTAAACAAGTTAATTTCGCAAATACTGGACGATAACAAAGTAGTAACACGTTTAACCCCGATTATGTTTCAGGGGTAAAGGTAACTTAATAGCATATTGACCTATAAAACAATAGACGTTATCAGAACACGAGAAATAAATGTATCAAAACAACATTATTCTGAAAATAAATCAACGCGTCTCACCATTATCCACCATGTGTCACTGGCGATGATAATACGCGGTGAAACGCAACTAGCAGTCACCCCCTCCTGAACAAAGGGCCCCACGGGGTCTGACTTGTTTCCCCGTCGGAATGCTACTATTACCGCGGGCAGGCGTTGGAAAGTCAGTAGGGGAAACTGCACACGCAGAGGTCTGTTTATACTGACGTCATCAAGGTCCATTCAATGTTTCATTCATCTTTTTTATGGCAAACCCAAAACGGAAATGAAATTCCTGAAACAATACCCCTGCTCAATGTGACTGAAAACCCGGAACCAGCTCACACACCTAAGATATGGAACTCGGAACAAAACACTTCCCACAAATCACATCCATGGACTTAACGTCAGTAGCCACCACATTATCTAGTCGCAAAAGAAGCTTTTATCGCATTGCTTACAAACACTAAAAAGAGCACAGAAGAAAAAATTAATTTGGCATTACACCTCTCGGCCACTTCCTTGCCCACTCCCACTAAACGTAATTCGCCTTAAAACTAATTTCATTAAAAAAATCAGTCGCTTGATTTCAGTTGTTATAAGATGGGCGTAACATTATGCATGCACATATGCACCAGACAAGGAAACGATAGAACAATTATCATACGTAAACGGGCATAAACTATGATAATTCGATTCCAACATTATCAACAAACACATACGGAGTGGTGTTACCTACCCTTGATGCCCCTGGCCTCATGAACAGACTATATTAATTCGAAAAGAGAATGTCGTTATTAAAAATGTCAAGTATTTTTGTCTACTAATCACATAATTTAATTTTAAGTAGCAATTTCTATCATGTTATATAATGCCAAACGTCGAGTTTGAGATAAAAGTTGCATGAAAATCATATTACTGACCACAAGCAATTACAATTGCATCGGCACAATTTTTCGGTATTATCACATATAAAATATTCAGCTATACATACCACTTATGTGGACAATCAAGAAAATCAACGGCGTCTTTTTCACTTATTAGAAAAGAATTCATGATGCTTCAATTTAATTTCTACTTCATACAAAAAGCTACACATTAAATCTTAATAGTACACACAAACAAGCCACGTGGTTATACATATTCGGTTGCATAAAAATCAATTTACACAAATCATACAATTTACTACTCCTATTTAAAACAGTGAACACCGAAATCAACACATTATGAAATATAATCAAGGGCGGCATAAACTATTCTTTTGCATCTTGTAACAAAAATATAGCCATGTGACTTCAATGAAACAACATGGCGAGGTTCCCAACAGCTGAGTTGCTCTGCCGGCAAGCACGCCACGTCTTGAGTGCGATATCGTGGATATTACAAGGCCACATTACGGCTAGTGTTCGGTATGTTGTTGCTGTTTACAGTAACCAATCTCAATAACAAACAGTCTAGATTACAAGTTTCATGCAGTTAATGTACGAAATTGCATAGTAATAGAAAAAGTAGAGACAATTTCGAACACCTTCACACCGCCCACTCAAAAGGCGGCGCGTCACAAGGCGGGTTAGCTTACCTGCACAAACTACCAATAACTTCTTCGTCGCGGTGTCTCAGTTCGTCCAAACAACGTTGCTCCTCACCCCGATGAAATACTGACATATCTTAACACTCCACACTATTGAATAATTGTACTTGTCTCACACAAACACAAGAAAATTGACACTTCTTGATCACGAAATCCAAAGCGAAACCACACATACAACGCCTCAAAGTGTTTTATAATGGCGATCTTTGGCGGGAAACAGCTGAAGTGTATCACAACGAAACTACGTATGTATTAATCCGCAAAAGGCTTCGCACTTGTAAACACGTTTCTGAAACAATGTTTATTCAATTACTTTAACGTACTTCATAGAAGCGGTACAAAACCACTTTTATACATTAAAATCAACGAAATTCTAAACTTACAGCGCAGTCACAGTAAACATGACGAACTACTTCCTTATGCGATCACATTTACGCGCATTATGCAAACCGGTTACCGGGCGGGAAGCCACCGATAAACTTCTGCCAGCTGTACTAGCGTCTACGCATGATCACAAGTGAAAACAATTTCATATTTTCTAAAAGTGTAATAATGCTCTTTCCTCACAAAAGTGACCATTAGACAAAGACACAACCACTGCATTACGGGCAAACCACCACTACCCCTGATTCATGAAAACATTACAAAAAACAAGAGAACTATTTTCTCATTCTTGCACCACAACGCTTTTATATAAATTAATTTTAAAATAATAAAAACATAATTTTATACTAAAAAGACTGCAACAATTTTTTATATCACAAATACGTTACTATATTTAATTACTTATTAATCGTATGGTCAAATTTAAAGTTCGTCCTTTCACAGCCAGAATGCACTTAACCGCCATCTGTTGTTCCAATCTCGTACTACTGAACGAACTACAGATCTTGCGGTGTAACAGTGTTCTGTCCACTGCAAATAACCCAAGCATAAATATCATGAATGAGTTAAAAATAGTTTCAGAAAAAGGGGCAAAAATAGGCCAGATTAAACAATAGGCCACCAAATTAAGACCCACAAACATACACAAATCAAATTACTTTGTGGTTATATGTATCACTAGCCTTTTGACTTTTGAGTAGGTTCTGAAGTAAAAGCCCAACTGCAAATTTCACTTTCAGTAACACAAAGGTGCATGTCTGAAAAACGTGTAGAGTACTGTTACCCTATTAGCATATTTCATGTATTTATATATGAAAGCACAATCACTGATGCTTTTCAACCCATATACAAGAACCAAGTTTTCATACCAAAAACATGTTTAAAGCAACCAATAGACAGATAATTGTATAAATACAGACTTTACAAGAAAATTTAATTTTCAACCAATCATGGTGTGGTATGTCAAGTTTAAGATGTGCATAATGTCAGATTACTTGAACACTCGTATCATGAGTTCAAATCCTACCAGACGCATGTTGTCTGCAATTTTTCTGTTGGGCTCTTCTATATACATACATGTGCAACAGCCTCATCCACCATCCAAGAAGTCCTACCAAAATGTCTAAGAAGTTCATATTTTCATTCTGAATTGGAACACGCAAGATGGCCTCTCTGTAAAACCAAAAAGAAGAAAAATAATTTAGTTTTCCAGGCTATGTAGGACCATTATTGAAATGGCAAACTTTACTGAAATCAACTTATTATTAGCAGTAACATATCAGCATTCAGATATTATTCAAATGAATTTGACTGAATGTCATTCTTTTAATCACAAAGTATCTATGCTGGTATCTCAAGGACAGCACAATTTCAAAATGGACTCCTGGGTCATGAAAAGAAGTTGTGCCTATTAATTAATATTTCAACATATGAATATGAGCTGCAAATTGCTATAACTGTGAATGCATTCCATAAATAAATAAATTCTGCATGACTCAGCTACCACTTCTAAAATAAACAGAACACAAACATCATAAACTTTATGCATGGAATAAACAAACTTAAGGTGTTCTGGTTTAAAAGAGCAAAACCAGCGGGGTATTTTTTTTTAAATATCACATTTTGTAACAGATTGTCTCACAGCATATGAATACACAAAACAGTATATTCAAACCACATGGTGCATATCATATAAAAACCTTCACACTATACAGCAAATGTAATTCTAAATGTCATGCACAAACCTTGGCATCTGAATTGCAAGCAATTTTGGTTAAGTACACATTCCAGCTTTAACGAGAAAAGCGATGATGGAAAATACTTAACACAATTACAGTCTTTCTTATATAATAAAGATACAGACATTTCTGTCACGCATGAAATTAGTTTGGCAAACTTACATACTCCAAGCTCAATGCATATAAAGTAGAATAAAAATGTCTAGTGTAGAAATATTTTACATGAGTATTGGTAACCTACCAAAATGTAATATAACACAGCTTAGAAACTTGCTGTCACGAGGAATGGTTATGCTTGCTTTACTTTAGAAGAAAGTGCATTTTAATTGTAAAACACAACTCAAAATGTAGTTCTGCCTTGCATTTCTATACAGGTAAATACAGTCATTCAGTACCAACATTTAAACTTCTACGTACGAGTGCTGTTTCCCAACCTCTGCAATTCCACAGATGTAAATGACAGAGTCTGCAGACCATAATTTACATTACCCATGTCAAAGAGCAATTCAGGGTTAATGATTTTTAAACGCTTTAAGCACAAATATTAATGCATGGAAATGAATGATTTGTACCATATTTATGGGCTTACATGGTTACCAGGAAATGACAATATTCAGTTCAACCTCAAAGCAGAGATGGGAGAACAATGGAGTACACTGAGCTTCCAAAGGAATTTTCTGCTAAAGTACTAATCAACATTATTCCAACTTTATCCATCTCAATGTGAATATATCTTCGTGAGAAATTAACATGTTTTGTTCACAGCTTTGGCACTACCTTTGCCAAACTCATGACGGCTTTTGGCTCCTGACCTTGAAACATCTCTCTCTCTCACTTGCTACACTCATGGCAGCATGATACAGTGCAAATGTTAGCAGGTACTTGTAATACATCTTAAAACATATTTAACCCTTACAACATCAACTATGTAATTGATGTACACACAAGTGAGGTCCTTCTTGCAATGCCAACTCCATTTATGTTTTCAGTTCAGTGGGGTTATTTACCCTACACACCAACCATATGAAGTAGCAAGATACAAGATCAATTTTTGAACTCTGTACCACAACTTTCAAAAAATATGAGAGTTGTTGCAAACATGGCTGGCTCTAGGAAGTGCCACAAGTTTATGAAGTTCTGATGCTCTGGTATAAACACAAGACGAAGATATGCTATGATACCACAAGCTTACAAGATGGAAATAGTCCCAAGAATTACATATCCAAAGAAATGCTGTTGCAAATTTTATTTGATATCACTGGTTAAAAAACCAATGAAAAATTTAGTGGCAGAGAATTAATTTTACTACAAAAAATAAATAAATTCCTCCTTTACCTTAGAAAAGTTAACATTACTATGCTCATAGCATAAGTTTTGTTGCTTCAGTTTGAGTGTTCCCTGATTATTTACCATACTCAAGATGGATACAGTCCTCCAGGCTTCGATTAAAACAAAGTTATGAAAAAATACAAGGCCCTATAGAAGTTTAGAAACTGTGGAAAGAATTTTGTATACACACATAAGATTTTAATCCAAAATGTTTCATGGGCAGACTGTCTTGCAGAGAAAAATTTAACAAAAAATATGGCCCAGGGTAAGACTAGCTCGATCTGGGGTTAAGCAAAACAGGTTTCTGTCCTCCAATTGCTCACCTGAAGACTGACAAAGAATCAATTTCTGAATAGTTGCAGTTTTAAATTATAAAAGACATGACTACTGATGAAGTCCGAGAGAAGAATCATACACATTTATAGTCCCCTCTAAGCAGCAATTCTTACTCTGCCGGTCTACAAAACTGCTACCACCACCCAGATCTGCACCGGAGGCGGCTCCAGGCGGGCTCGCGCCCTGACCCTAATATAGTACAACTCTGTATAATAAAAATATAGTTATAGCCTAACTACTTATTTTATAGTAAACAATTAATAAAAACGAAACAAAAAAAAGTTAAAAAGTAAGAAATCAACAAACTTGTTAAAGAAAATTTATGAGTAGCCCAACATGTGATCCTGTCTGTGACAGTAAGTTGGTAGCATTTTTAATAAACTGCCATGAAATTGCAACAAATTTTTGTTTCTGCGAACTGCAAGAGGAAATGGGCAACGTGGGCTAGGCTAGAACACTGAACAAACAATAAACTAACAAACCAAAATCAGCAGCAGCAAACGTGGTAACTTCAGCCATTTTACCTGAGAACATACTGCATGAGATTGAGAAACATTCATCTTGACAATAAATCATAGAACGATCGCTTCATTTCCTCATTAAAAAAATTAAATCCGTGGCGTAACAGCTCCAGAGAGCCAAAGCCGACTAGCTTGACTGCTGTCCTCACGTTCACATGCCTAAGCAGAGGTGAACGATCATCCAACCAGATATAGGGTGACGTGTGGTCAACACGACGAACCCCCAGCCTTTGCTAGCTTTCCTGACCGGATTACGCTACTCATTGTAGCTCCCCAACTTCCTCACGATGCTGGGTTGGCACCGGTCCCATACACTGGTCGAAAGCTCATGAGAAAATTTCTTCTCCCCCCCGAAACTCAAACCAGCGCGCATTCCATATCGCCGGTCCGAAGCATGATGCCTCAAACTGCGCGTCTACGGCGTGGGACTTCATTTCCTCATACACGTCAATTAAAACGTATCACATCTTCTCTGACCACTGACCAAATTCCACAAGCAAGATTAAATATTCCAAGTTCAAGCATATATTCCGTCTTATACAAAAAATCAAATGATCATTCCAAACCATTTTGTTTACATGACCACTACAGTCCACAACACCCGAAAGTAAGTGCTCGCATTCAGTTTCTGAAGCAATTCGTCTTCCCTACAGGGTTTTCACAATAATTATAAGACTAGGAATACTGGACTAAACACATTTACAATGACTTAAAGTAACAAACTTAATTTGTGGTCACAGGAATGAAACAATCATCAATCAAGCACACATTATAAAACAATACTGACTTCAACACACATTACATATTTGTCATCCTGTGTGAAATGTAAACGTAAATACAATACATATATGAGCATACCCCTGCAAGCGCAACCAGCTGATATGGACCGCATATGTACAGTAATGCAAACTCCACAAACACATGGAAATGTGGCCGAGCATATTAAAATGTGAGAGTTGCTTGTGATGAGAGAGAGAATCATTCACAAATATGTCCATATTATCATATGAAAATAACTAGTTACATTAAGTCATCATAAATTTAACACTGGTGTCACCACGTAAACAATACCGCCGCTATTTCATGACGACAGACCGCCAGTTCACGTAAGACGCAAACCATCGCGCGCAGAGATTCACACACTATGAGATTTACGGTACAACAAAGGCAGCAAATGTAAGACGTATGAATCAAAATGAAGCACTATAACAGTTTCTTTAAACTGGCTTTCATCCTTTCTTGAGCTGGATTGATTTTGATCTTAAGCTGCTGTATCAGGTCATAAATTTTTAAAGATGGTCCAACTTTCATTCCAGTCAGATCAATGATCTGATCTTTGGTAAGTGTGAGAAGAGATTTTCCATCAATTTTCTGAAATACAATGAAACAACCCATAAATATTTTAGTCGAACGAAGCTGTTACAAAGGAAAAAATTAAAAAGTACAATATTATAAAAATTACATCGTCAGTACCTGGTATAACAAATACAGCAAAACCTCTTCCATCACAGATCTGTCCTATACAAATTCCAATATACACGTGAAAAATAAATAAAACAATTATTTGTCAACATGAAAATGTAATTATATGCGACCTGACAAACACTCCAATGGCACATGAAAAATACCACTACAGTTTTTATTGCCTGCCTACTCTTGACTTACCAGTCACATTCTCGTATCCCCATTAATCCCACACAATATTAAGCTCATTCAACACCGATTTGGCACACACATCACTTTTGAGGGGCATAAGGTTTTCTGTACAACAAAAAATTATTTTGTTTTGTCACTACAAATAACATAACGCCTAGGCAACAGAACTACGCTTGTCTAGCATTGTATTGGCGGATACGTGGTTTAGTAAAATATGCCTAAGATCAGAAAAGTGAGAATTTAGCACTTAATTACAAATTAAAATTGCATTTCTTGTGAAAGAGAAATGATACATCATCAAAAATCTTGCTTTCATCAAAATCTGTCACAGGATTCAAAAGATGATCATGAAAAGTCCTTAAAATTAATCCAAGAAAAAAAGCACAATAATGACATGGGTATGGCATTACGAGCTTATCTAAAAATTGTCAACAAAGTATACAGTTCAGTTAGGGTCATAAGCAAAGTAACAATTAATATAAATCATGGTTAATGCAATTTAACATACAACATGTCATGAATGGAGTGTAATATATCGAAGACTAAAAGCTGATACCAAAACCGAGCCAGAACAAAATTAGTCTCCTACCTTGGATGTTCTTACCACCTGACAGGCAAATCTAACTTGCGGATTTTCCTTCCACCACATACTGTAAAATTACTGAGACTCACCCTACGACTGAAGCTGTCACAATAAGCAGCACAGTCATTGACTCGGAGAAACTGTGCCACGTCAAACACGTTCCATTCTGCCGGAACTAGTTCACCAGGCTCCCCTACATTACCTGTTGCATCCACCAGTCTTGGAATGAGTTTCCCACTTGCACCGCTCGACTGAAAACGAATTAGCCAACAAGGAAAATAAAAAATAATTGGAAACGTTGGATTACTGAGAAGACATCATCTTCTCTTTGTACATTCAATCAAGGTTTAATAAATTAAACATGAACATATTGAAATGTGGTCCTTACAGTGAAACATTTTGTATGAACATCATGAACAACAGAAGACTCAAAAAAATTTATTCAGTATGAAACATGACAAATTCAATCACACAATGAGATCTCTGCATTTCTGGCAATCAAAACGAATCTCACAAAAATTATAAGATGATAAACAATTACGACTCTTTTCGATATGATTGACGAATACGTGTGATGATGTACGTTTGTGTTCTGCAACAGCAGATGTCTTAAATAACCTTACGTCACACAGCAAAAACTACGAGGAGAATGGCCGACTGTTTACAAACATATATACGTGTGAAATATGGTGCCAAGTGGCTTGCGATGCCAGTAAGTTTGGTCACATCTGCACAAAGGAAAGAGAAGGTGTGTTTCCTGCGAAACGCTTTCAACAGCAGCGTATTTCAGAAGCGCAAAATGAATCGACCGACTCACATTAATATAGGAAGTGGCAGTTCGCTCCCGAGGTATAGGAGGCTGCTGACCACATCCAGGTTCTGTGGAAACGGGGAGAGACTGATCTGGACCAGCTGGTTCCTGACCCATTTCAGGTTCACGCCCAGGTCCTGGGAGTCCGTTGCTACCTTCCTTGGGCAAGCCGTCCGCACTACTGTCAGACGCGGCAAGCTTCGTGGCTTGAGCAGGTTCTCGAAGCATGCGCTCACTA